GTTCTAAGAGCTGTAAGAGCCCCCAATAAAATGATCTTTTAATAAAAAAAAATCAGGTTTATTGGTAAGATAGAGATGGGTGGAACTCCCAATACTATGACCCTTAGTTACCCTTCAGCTTGGGAACTGAACTCACCTCCCTGGCTCAATTGTCCACCAAAGAAAACACAGGAGGGTGAATTGTATGGATCTTTGAATGAAAACTGTTTTGTTCTGTAAGTCTTTACCCAATTCACAATAAAAAGCTTTAAAAAGAAAAAGATGTGATCTGTGGTGAAGCCAAGCAATATGGTTTCTAAATAACAGGTACACCGTTTAATTAATTCCCCTGCTGACGATCAGCCTGGCTCTATTTCATCTATAGAGTCTAGGCTACTGTCTGACCTGTCACCATTTCAAAGAGGTAGACTACTCCAGGTGGCGTTAACGGACGCTCTTACCCTCGACCAGTGGAGGCTTGAGTGCGGGGAAGCCCGCCGCCCTCAGCACATGGGCTTGGCCTTCACTGGGAACATTTGGGATCCTGATTTGGCGTCTCCACCTCCATCTCCATCCTTGCCTCAAGCTGACCAGAGCAGCTTTTCACAAGGATGGAAAGTGGTCAACACGGCCCTTCCTGAAACCTTCTGTCAGGTGGCAAGGAAAGGAAAGGGAATGGAAACCAAGGGCCTTTGTGCTCAGTGCTTGGGCTGTGCAGGGTGGCGCGTGAACCGGTTAGTTACGGTGGTTCCAAGGAGCTTAGAGACCCTCCCTCCAGCTTCTCGCTCCGTGGGAGCTGCGCATGTTTCCTGGTTCCTCAGGGGCAACCTCAAGACTGGGAGAAACCTGGGAGCAGTGCAGGTGGCCTCTGGGATTCAGAGACCATCAGGCAAAGCAGCCCGTCGTTTTATAAAAACAGGCACTGAGGCCACAGAAGTGCAGAGGTCTGAGGTCATAGAGCTAGTTCTTAGTAGGTCTACAGTTCTGGTCTCCTGCCTGGCTCCCCTAAGCTGTGTCCCTTTCCTGACCACAGGAGACCCCTCTACCCCTGCCTCCAGTAAGTCTGTAGAGTGGGATTTAGTCGCTTTGACCTCCCCTGTGGATCCTTGGGCCATTTGGCATGGTACTAAGTCGGCTACTGCCGAAGGGCAGGGACCATCGTGGGCAGAGGCAGCCGGTGGGCCAGGCACCTGCTGCAATGCCTGTCGTTGTCCACAACCCGCTAGAGCTTCAAAATAGGAACGCCCGGCAGCACCCTTTGAAGAAACACGACAAGCCAAGTGCAATTTCTGCATCGCTTTATTTGTATAAACCAGTGGGGAATGTTCCCTTTGAGAGCAGGAGGGGGAGAGGAGCGCGGAGGGGAGCGGATTCCAGCGGTTGGCGTTATTCAGCACCAGAGCCAATGCTTGGGTCTAAGGTCATGCTTGAACCCAGACACATCGTCATAGTCTTGTCTTGTGTGTACAGCATATCCTTGGGGATGCGTGTACTTCGTATGGCTTTGTCCCTGGACACATTGCAGTAACATAACAAACAAACAAACAAACAACTCAAGTCTAGATTGTAGTGTAAGTAGCAAATGCCTCAGGAGCACATTCCTCCCAAATCTGACAACTGCCGAATGGATGCGTGAGAACTGGAAGACCTCTGCTAGACACGAGCCTATGCCACTCAGCCGAACCTATGACGCCCCCTCG